TAATAAGAGAACCAACACATTATTCTTGTGACTTAATTATTGGTCTATGGTTTTATTATCACAAATCTTCTTGGGATTTGGTACCTTACTTTGATTATGCCTCCAGTGAGCTGTTTTATTATTTTTTTTGGTCTTCAAAAATTAGGTATTTTAAAATTTAATTGGAAATAAATTATGCTTTCAAAATATGACCAAATTTAAATATAACTTAATTAAAAATAAATTATTACCTAAATATTAGCAATATTTTCTCTTCCTGCTAAAATCATAATGGCAAATGGGTTTGAAATGTAACTCACTTGTTACTCAAGACAGATATTATTTAACGTTTTCATGAATGAGAATTCTTTAAGATATCAGGGGATAATAATTAAGTTTTTTCCATAGTATTTTCCATTAGTGTTCCTCCAAATGGGACTCTCCACTTGGTAGATGGGACAAATCAGCAATATTATTGTTCATTAATTGTCATAATAGCCCACCAAAAGAAGATGTGTCTTTCTGGATGTATGAACACACATACTCTCCTCCCATCCTCCCAGCATGCACTTTCTATACACGTAAACACAGATTCCCCCCATGCTTTTTTTTTTATGATAGTCATACAGAGAGAGAGAGAGAGAGAGAGAGAGGCAGAGACATAGGCAGAGGGAGAAGCAGGCTCCATGCACTGGGAGCCTGACGTGGGATGCGATCCCAGGTCTCCAGGATTGCGCTCTGGGCCAAAGGCAGGGGCCAAACCGCTGCGCCACCCAGAGATCCGCCCCCCCATGCATTTTTTATTTATTCATTTTGTTTTTGTTTTTTTTTTAATTCTAATTTTTTTTAATTTTTATTTATTTTATGATAGTCACAGAGAGAGAGAGAGAGAAAGAGGCAGAGACATAGGCAGAGGGAGAAGCAGGCTCCATGCACCGGGAGCCCGATGTGGGATTCGATCCCAGGTCTCCAGAATCACGCCCTGGGCCAAAGGCAGGCGCCAAACCGCTGCGCCACCCAGGGATCCCCATTCATTTTGCTTTTTGTTTTGAAATATTTTCAGATTTACATAGAAGTTGAAACTCTTTCCACCCAGAGATTCCATTCATCTTTCACTATCTCAATGTCTTTTACAGCAAAAGACTCCAGTCCTGAGACATGCTTTGCATTTAGTAGTTATGTCATCTGAATTTCCATCAGACCAGAATAAGTCCTACTTAGACCTTCATGACCTTGACTCTTCAAGAGTACAGGCCTGTGCTTTTCTAGAATGTTCCTGAATTGGTGTGCCTGATATTTCCTTCTGGTTGGATTTATGCTCTTCATTTTTGGCTGTATCATTGCAGTGATGCTGTATTATTCTCATTGTATCTTACAAGGTGGTTAGTGACATCAATATGTCATATGTCATGCCACTGGTGATGTTCACTTTGATCATTTTTGGGGATATTTTGGTGATATTTCAATATAAAATTACTGTTTGCAATAATTTTACTGTTTACTATAAAATTACAGTATGAAATTACTGTTTTTCCCTTTACAATTGTTAAGTGTCTTGTGGGAAGAGACTTTGAACCTGTGTAGTATTTATTTCTCATCTGAATTTCGTTTACTAGTTTTAGCATCCATTTTTGTTTCTTGCCTGAATTATTACCTAAATGATTGCCAAGTGGTGATTTCTAATTGAAATATTCCTTCTACATTTATAAGTTAGCATTCTCTTTTTTTTTTAATTTTTTATTTTTATTTTTATTTATTTATGATAGTCATAGAGAGAGAGAGAGGCAGAGACACAGGCAGAGGGAGAAGCAGGCTCCATGCACCGTGGGCCCGACGTGGGATTCGATCCAGGGTCTCCAGGATCGCGCCCTGGGCCAAAGGCAGGCGCCAAACCGCTGCGCCACCCAGGGATCCCCATAAGTTAGCATTCTCAAAGGAAAAGATTTCCCTTCTCCCTGCCTAATTTATTCATTCATTTATTTATATCACGGTGGGCTCATGGATTTTTCTTTTATTTAGTAAGGTATCATGTGTCATTATCATTATTTGTTTGATAGTCTGATCGCCTCAGAACTGGCTAAGGGAAGCCCCTCAAGCTAGCTTCTGAAACACTCCCGCCATTCCTAGAGCACATCTGCCATTCCAGATTTACCTTGTACTTTCCACTCCAGCCTGAATTCACCTATTTCTTTGAGATACCTGGTTCCTGGTATTTAGAAACCATGATCTGGACACTTAATGTGCTCCATGCAACTGGGGTGTTATTGCTCTCAGATTCTCTCAGGACACGGAGCCAGGACATATATGCAGTTGTATATATACTAGTGTATCTTAACACACACACACACACACACACACACACACACACACACACACTTCTATATTTATCTATCCATCTATCACCATAAATTCACACTGATAGATTTAATTCCAAACAAACATCATAGGCTTTATTTTAGTTTTCCTCCTTTTCAAATTTGTAACTCCCTTTTTAGGCAGTGAATAACATGACTCCAATTAATTTCAATCAATATATTTATTTGTTTCATTAGTCTACCTCTATGTAACAGTCTTCTGACTCTTCTGTTGGCCAAATGCCTTATGTAAAGCCCTCAACATAAAGTCTTGCTGCCGCATCAGCTAAACGTTTGGCCTTTGGTATAAATACTTTCCAATGCCCGTTAGTTCATTTTCTTTCTGCCTATCTCTCTCTCTCTGCATGTGAGTGCGCACATGCACATATACACACTGGTATGAAATACTGGCAATTTAATAGGTAGGGAAACACTCTTTTACCCCATGGGAAGATATAATTATAAACTGATATGATATAAATTAAATGGACAGTTTCTTCAGTTAGTGAACAATTAAAGACTGTAGTGATAGAAATGCCTATTTTCATTGTTTTCAGGATGTAAATGCTCTTCAAATAACAGCAATTTTAAAATATAAGTTAATTCTTCCTTATTAAGAATCATCCACATGATTACTTGCCATACATTTTTTTAAAATACTCAATTCAGTAATAGGTTTTGCAACTTTTGAAAGAAAATATGCATAAGGCTACTGGTTTTTCACAAAAGCAACTTTCATTTTTTATAAAAATATCTGAAAGCATGAGAGATTCACATGATACAACAGAGATAAGAAACATAGCAACAGATAACAAAGGTTTGCAGTGTGTTTGCATTAGGCAAATAGTATGCAAATAACTAAGCCAAACCTTTACATTAGGAGAGAACAGTGTCTATATATTTGCAGAAAAATGTATTGAAATGCACAGAGTTGCTCGACAACACATGGCATTGCCATATTGTTGTCAACATCTGAGGTACGGCTTTGCAAGTAGTTTGCTCGCCGGCTATGACTTTACTATTTCTCTCTGACATAGCTGTTGTTCAGTGGTTAAATTGCACTCTTCTGTGCTCCAGTATTTGCATTTACATTACAGACCACAGTGTGAAGAATGTTTCTTATTAGTGAAGCATCTCTGTTGATTCTTCATTGCTTCATAGTTCGTATCACGATTATGAGAAAGTTTAAGACTCACCTCGGCATGTTTATGAGCCCTTCTTCTTTTGTGTGTACTTCTCAGGATTCTTTATGCAATTGATGGCCTAAGAGAGAGAGGACATCCCAAATACTGTTGGAGCACAATTAACTGGAGAAGGGTGATTAATGGCTGGGCTCTTAAAAGATACTCTGTCCTGCCAATGTGCCTCCTTCTCTGCTTCTAGTCACAGGGTTATGTTTACCTTTCAGACTGACTCGCAATTAGAATATGGAGATTTTATGCATGATGGTTCCATTCATTAATTCAAAGACTATAATAGGTCCTTGACATGTTTGGATTGAACTTTTGGGCGACTAGAAAATGACCTCAAGTATATTTTGCTCAGGTATAAATTTGAATCCCTCAGGGTGTGTGGTTTGAATGTGTGCAAGACCTGTCACTCACTCACCAATGAATCAGCTTAGCTGACTTTCCTGGGGTTGTAGCTCAGCATCATGGTGCTGCTCCCTTCTGTTATTTCAGTAACAGCCACATGGAAAAGTATATGCTTAGCAATATTCTCAAATTTTAGTATTTGTAAAGCTCTTCTGTCATAGTGCTCCCTCCCTACATCCGTCCGTTCTCCTTTCATTTCTTTCTCTTATCTACCAAGACTCTTGCTCTTAAACCTGTGGTTTTACATTCCACAGAATTTTTTCATTAATTTTTTTCCTCATTCTTTCCAGGCATTGTTGCCTTTATGCTATAGGTCAGTCTTTAGCATCTATATTTCACTTTGAAGGAATCATGTCTATTTTTTTACATTAGTTCAGTGCTTTCATCTCTGTTCTTGTCTGGTACTTACCTTGGCTTCTCTTTCATTGACAAAATTATCCACAGCACAAGTTGGCTGTGTTATAATAACATAATAATAGTCGGAAAGACCTGAGCTGAAAATCTGAAAATTAGTAGCTATGTTTGCACATACTTAAAACTGGGGGCCAATAGTATCTATTTTGCCAATTCATTGTATATATTGAAATATATATTAAATATATTTGCCAATTCATTGTATATATTGAAATACATATTAAATATATAATTATATATATTTAGTATATATTTATTATATTTATAGTTATATATATATAGTATAATACTATAATGTATTATAGTGTTCACCCCAAATCAGGCATATAGTACAGATGGAAAGTGTTAGAAGAAATTCCAGGCAGGATCTTTGACTCTTATGTTCACAAACCCCTAATACAGAGCCTGGCATACAGTAAGTACTCAATAAATGCATGTCAGCTGTTGCCATTGTTCTTGTTGCCATAACCTGTCTCAATGCTATGAAAATTAAAGATAACAGTGTGCATATAAAGCACATAATAAAGGGTATGACACAAAGTAGGTGATTTGGCTAGAATGGTATTTTTAGAGACATATCATCAGGCAAATGATTGGTTAGCATTCTTGGGAAAACATCTTCAGAAAAACTAAAGGTCTTTTGTTTTGTCCTTCTCAGGCATCCTGTTTTCCTTGGTGGTGATGCTGTATGTCATCTGGGTCCAGGCAGTGGCTGACATGGAAGGCTACAAAAACATGAAAATGAGAGACTGCTTGGAGTTCACCCCTTCTGTTCTGTATGGCTGGTCATTTTTTCTGGCCCCGGCGGGGATATTTTTTTCTTTGCTTGCTGGATTACTATTTCTGGTTATTGGTCGGCATATTCAAATACATCACTAATCAAACTATTGCCACAAGCATTTTCTTGAGAGGTTTTAAGACGGAACTTTTTTTTTTTTTCATTTTGTTTTGGTGATCCCAGCATAGAATTAGTTGTGAGCTTTTTAGTTGGTATTTCAATTTTGCTTTTACATTTTACTTGTGATTTCCTCCAGTAGGAAGGTCCTAGAATCTTTCCAGATAACCACAGGTTTCCATCCTATGTAGGTGCTATCACTAACCTAATTCTCAAAGAAGCAGGTAGCATGGGTCTCCCTTTCATTGCACCTGTTAGGGGTCATGCAGGTCACAAAGGTCTGATAATGACATAATACCACTACCTGGGCCAGGGAAGCTTTGATTTAAAGTCTCCTTCTTGGCATTCACTTCGAAAAAATCTTTGGAGAATAATTAAGAACGGAAAACAAATGTTGTCAGAGAACTTATTCCATCTTTTCTCCACACACATGCATATCCACATACATATTCACTGACTCCTGTAAGCCAATTATTTATGACTTAAAAATAGATAGCAGTGTGCTTGTGGCGAGAGCCAGGCAAACACATCAGTTACAATGGGCCACAACCAGACTGAGAATGTGTACTTATTCCACGTTCTTACCAACAGGAGTTTGGTTATCTAATTATATTCACTGAATTGTGCATGCTTACAGAAACCTTAAACTATGTTTAAAAGTGGCAAATCTAAAAAAATAAAAATAAAAAAAGTGGCAAATCTGTACACCAAATTACACATAAAGCAGATTGGACTTTTAGGAGCTCAGTGGATTAATTGTAATATGTAATATGGTTGAAAATATGTGAAAAAAAAAAAAAACCAAGCACCTTAGCTTAGTACTTAGTTCTGTTTGATATTTTGAAATTCTTATTTAAAATTATATGCTAATATGTTCAGGATGTGAAAATTTATTGATGAAATGTGCTTTTAATATGCACTAGCTATAAACTTTCAAAATATTTCCATATGAAATGATAATAGCCTTGCTTTATTAAAGACTATGAAATATTAACTTTTCCCAAGACTTTATGGGTTGTAGTTCTTCTGATCATTTGATTCCCTTAATTATTGTCTCTCAGTTTCTTCATCTTTACAACAGGTATTTTAACATTTACAGATCTGCTATTTCCTTTAACATCTTGGAAGAAAACTTTGTGCTGCTTGGTGGATAATTCTTTTTTATTTGCTGGTGTAGACATGCAGACATTTTGCATATCAAAGATGTTTGTTTGGCACTAATTTTGATTGAAATCAAATCCATCTGAGAAGCCCACTTTGCATTTGCATCTTGGAAACCTCCACCAAGGAGCAGTTTGGTGTTGGTGAGGGAACAGAGAACCCGCATGGTATGCGAGCTTTGTTCTGGACACAGCATTTTACTCTGCAGCTGTTGTGAATACCTAGGGCAGGACTCAGAGGCAAATTAAGAGTGACCACCTAGAAGATGCTGTGGGATAGAGGGGCGATTGCTTTCCATTCAGCAGTTCTCCTGATGGAGAGATTGCGTGTCTTATGGACACATCTGTACTTTCCATTAACTTGTTTCAGTGGGAGGGATTTTTGGAGGAATAGCCGCAGTCTGATGTATCTGCAGAATCATGAGGGCATTTTAGTGTTTAGGGACAGATAGGACTAGCATGTGATAAAAACAAAAAAACACAAAAATACAAGACAAAAAAACATAGCTTCAGGGGATTAACTGGTTTCTCAAGCCATCTGAGTTATATCATAAATGTTTTTTTATGCTACTTGCCTTTGTCTTTTTCTGTTTTCATTTTTATATTGCTCCATTTACTTCTTTGCTTTTGGCTTGATTATTAGAAAAATAATTATGGGTTCTGTTATGCATATTTACTGTGATATTAAGTTATGGCATGCCATTAAGTTTTCCAGACGATGCTAGATGTATTTGATTAGTTCATGTCATCTGTAAATACAATTCTTTTTTGTAGAATTTTGGAATGGAGCCTTTTTTCTAGTGTATTATATGTCATTTAAATTTCACATACAAGCTGCTTTCAGTAAAGGTTTGAATATTTATAAATTTCAGATGGTTATCCTCATTTTCTAATACACTTATGCGGCTACCATATATTTATCATAAGGCAATTGGCTGAGTATCTGATGTGTATGACACTTTTACACAGATACATACTTTGGAAGTATTTCATAGTTGTAATGCATATCAATCACATTAATTCAGATGCATTTCCCAATCTACTTACCAGCAATCCGTGGAAGGAAGGAAGGTGAGTTGTTTGTGCTGTGTCAATAAGTAATATACTTTAAAATAGCAGAAATATGCCATATATTCTTGTAACAGCCTTATGTCTGATTTAGGATAGTATGTTTGTCTCTATTCAGTGTATTGACTAATTTTCAGAAGCTTCCAAATACCATGTTAAAATTTTATTAAGAGTGTTGATTTTGCATCAAGTTTCAATGTAATAAATAAGATGTCTTTTTGGTGACATTCTGGGAAGAGCAAAATAAAAGAACAGTTAGTTATGCCCTTGGACTTTGGAGAAAGCTATGATTTTTCCATATTGTATTTGTTCAAGGAATTCAGTTTGGTTGGGCAGCAGGTAGCATACGCAGTGGAACCAGCTGGACAAACCATACAGAAAGGCTGAATGTGGTGTTCAATTTGGAGGTTGCGGGTAAGACTTATATAAAAAAAAAACTACCAGGTATGCTATTACTGGCCATTTAGTCACTTTTATGACTAATATATGAAATGTACTTATTCAATTTAAATATTAAATCCACGTATAAAGGTGTATGGTGGATGAGGTGTCAGTATTTGGTTCTTGTCTATATACCTGTGTATCTTTCATCAACACATACTCGTGTATGTGTGTGTGTGTCTACCCAGAATTATAAATTTGAATAGAAAGAGATAAAGTGAATGATAGAAATCAATATAATTGAGATAAACAAAAATTTAAAAATGAGTTTCTTTTGGGGGATAGAAATAGAGCTTATGTCTCCAAGTACTATTTTAACATTTTTACTCAATTGATGATGGTCAATTCAATTTTGATGGTCAACACATAAGTAGACTTATAGTTTTGTGAAAGAAAGCAAATTAGATTTACAAAGAGGCTTAGAATGTCATAGGATTAGACACATATGGGGTGCTGGTAAAAATAAGCTGTACATACATCGTCAGGAGGGTAGCATTGTAGGGAAAGACCCACAGTTCTGGGGCTACATGGAAAAAAATATATTAAGAGGATGAGTCCCCAATTTGATTTTGGTGGGATGCCATGAGGAATGAGGGGGCTCATACAACAGAGATGAAATAGAAACTACATTTTTGTTGATTGTTTGAAAGCATTAAATACATAGAGACATTTCCTCTGCGATGACTGAGGGTAGGTTACAGAAATTCCAGCAAAAACTTAGGAAGACAGTATACTAGATGTTAAATCCAAGGAGAGTGGGGAAATATTAAACATCGTATATATTATAATGAGCATAAAGCAAGCATAAGAACATTTAACTTTGTTAGCAGGGTAAGAGGAAAGGCAGAGCAAACATCCAGCTAGAACTTAGAGTTTCTGAGCTAGCTAACCAAGGCAAGTGCTAGGACCTCTGTCTTCAGGAACATGAAGATCAGCCTAGATTGGTCTTGAGGGGTGGGAAATATAAGAAAAAACCCATCTGAAATGACAGTGGAGGAGTATTAAGACTCCCACTCTGGCTTCTGAAGGGTCATTTTTTCCCACTACTGTGACTCTGACTGTGAACAGTTGAAGGGGCGATTGGCTGGTTGAACTTTATAAAATGATACACCTTTGGATATAGAGAATCATACGGTGTGTCTAACCATTCTGTTTAATTTATAAGACATCTATAAGCAAATAAATTAGAATGATTTTGAATTCTTCAAGTAATGATTTTTTTTGGTTTACACAAATGACAGGGCTAGTTTAAGCTGGCTTTATGAAATAAATGTGGTTGGAGTAATTGGCATCCTGTACTGATCCTGAGATTATCTAGATAATTTAGGGGAAAGAAGGCTCACAGGGATAAAATAAGTATACATATAGCAAAAATTTTAATATTCCCATTCTTCTGGGAGTCCAGGAGTTATTGTGACATAATTCACTAAAAATGTAAATAGTTCCCCCTTTATGTGGTAATTGATTTTGTTTTTTTTTTTAGCATTTCTTTTTCCATTTATTCTAAACAGAAACTGCTACTGTTGAAAAATTTTACCAATGCTTATAGATTGTATTGTCATTGTAAACTATCTAAACAAATAGGTATTTGAACAATACAGCTTTAAAAAGAATGCTATATATAGAATAATGCTTGTTGCCTCATATTTTGGTGTGGCATATATAGACACTATGCAGTATTGATATATTGTCTTCATTCTCCCAAAATAAAAGGCCTTTTTTTTTCTCAAGAATTTTATGGGTACATGTAAATGCCTGGAGAAATGTCAAACAGAAGTATGATTAACCTCTGTGTATGTATGTGTGTGTTGTAAACATATACCCACAAACCTATGTATGTTTATATTTATGTACATGTGTGGCATTTATGCATGTGTATATGTGGATTTGGGTAACACTACATATATATCTGTTAATAGACATGTCTGAATACACACATATATGTAATACATGTATGTTTTAAAAATATTTTGTACATATAATATATACACGTTTGTATATAATAAATGCCTGTATTTATATTATATGTGCATCTTGCAAATATCTGTCTGTCTCGGATATACCTGAGCTCTTTAGGCTTACTGAAGGGGACGGCATATTTTATCTTTATGCTATTATTGCAAACTTATCCCGGTGGTGACTGAGGTATACAAGGGAAACTCAGTAAGTAGCATCTTAGCCTCTCTTCCTTGGATCCAGGGCAAATGTGATGATGCATGTAGACTGGTTGTGTCTGACCCTATGCATGCCTAATGGCAATGACCCTGTTTTGGAACATCTTCTAACAACTACTATCTAGCTGTTAATGAATATTTATTTAACTGTAAAATTTTTGCCAAATAAAATAATTCCTTTCTAAAGCAGATGCCCTAGTTGATACATTTTTTTAATCCCCCTTCAAGGGTTAAGCCAGCTGGATGCCTCATGAACTCTTTATTTGGGTTGCTGGTAGGGAGGATCCTCTGGTGTAGTGGGAAAGGTTTTAAATCTACGTATGAAGACCTGCAATCCAATCCTGGATTTTAAACTTACAGTTTGGCAAGTTATGCCACCTTACTTTGGCTGAGTATATTCATCTAAAATATTTACCAGTTTACTCAGTAAACAGTTAATTGTGTGCATACTACATGTCACAAATGGTGCTGCATATTGGGTATATATTACTAAACAAGACAGACATGGTATTTTCATTTTTCAAGCTAGGATTCAAGGACATAATATAGACAACAAGCAAATGAATAAAAAACACACTATGATTTATAAATTGTGATAAATCCTCTAAGGAAAAATAAACAAGACATGATGACATAAACCATGATTACAGTCAGGGAGGTTCTTTGTAAGGAGAGAATTCTGAATTGGAGAGAACACCAAGTATTCTGATGCATAAAAGGTAGAAAGGAGCCATCTGAATGAATGATGGCCTGAGAAGTTTTCAGGGAGGGGGCCTAGTGGCAGAGGTCTGAGTATGGGAGAGTTTGATGTGTTCTAAGGATAGCAAGGTGGCTTGTGTGGTTAGACAATAAATGGGAGAGTTCTATGATGAGGCTGGAGAAGAAAGGCCTAATCATTCAGAGCCCTTGAGGCTGTTATAATATATTTTGAAGCAGAAAATGGAAAGAACTTGCAGGTGGATCAGATATGGGATGAAGAGAGGGACAAGTCAGAAATCACTCTTAGATTTCTAGCCTAAGTAAATGGGTAGATGGAGAAATCTGGAATAGGAAATGCAGAGGGAAACAGGTGTGAGAGAGAAAGGAATGGAATCCATAGTCCACTTTGTTGATGCAACGTTTGAGAAGTCCGTGAAATCTTCAAGTTGAAACACTAGTCAGGAGCTCAGAGGAGCGATCTAAGCTGGAGACTCACATTTGCAGTCATCACATTTAAAGTCATGGGAAAGATGAAGCCACAAAGGAGGATGGCTAGAGAGAGGAGAAACTCTTTGCACTGGAGAACCCAACATTTATAGGGTGAAGAGAAGGTGAAGCCTGAGGAAAAGCCAGAAAGAGACAAAGAAGGATGGATAGGAAATGTGGTATGGAGGAAGGCCAGTGGGGAGAATGTTTTGAGAAAGGACTGAGTTTTGAACTTTACCAGGACTGCTGAGAAGATGGCTAAGTGAGGGGAAAGAAAGGGGCCCTCTGGCTGTGGAAGCTTGGTGTTTGTTGGTGACAATGATGACAGAAATCTTGGGGTAGTGATGAGGAAAGAAGCTGGATCTGATCTATGTGAGGAGTTGATGAGAGGTGTGAATGTGGAGAACACATGCTGGGCAGCGTCTAGAAGACTGTCTTCAAGGAAAGTAAAGGGTCATGAACTTGGGGAGAAGGTGGTGTGAGGTCTGGAGGAAGCAGTCTCAAGACCTGGTAAAATAAGAGTGAATTTGCCTATTTTGAAAGTCATTCTGTCCAGAGGAGAGGGTGATGTGGGAAAGGACCCTGACAAGAGTTGGGTCATGGGGTAGGCTGATGTATGTGTGGAGGGACAGCGTACCTGTCTCCCTTTAAAGAAGGTCATGTATTTGAAGACACTCAGGATGAGAAAAGCACTTACTATATTATACTTGGCAAAATAAAACAAAACAAAACAAAGCCTACAAACACAACACAAATCCTGTTGTACATTTATCACATACGAGTTCCAACATTAGGTGTCAGGGTTATGGAAAATTGAGCAAATCACCTTGTATAGGTCAAATGTAATACTCTTCATTGCTTATCAACCAAGCATATCAGTAAGACCCCAGGGAGTCAACACAGTTGAA